GTAAAGTTTAATGTCTTTCTGTTGTATTCATATAGTGTATTATCTCCAAAAATAAATAAAAACAATAAAAATAGAAGAACTAAGCCGCTCGCGGCATCAACTGTAAAGGAAGCGCTCTTTTCCTCAGTCTCACACACACATACAGGCATCTAAACGCACACAAACACACCTTTTAAACTTGACAAAACCTCTGGAAAAGCTTTACTGTCTGCTGTGTGTTTAATATGGTGTAAAGATTATTCTGCGTTATTGAAACATCGAGGAGGACGCAGCAAAGAAAAGTCACTTATAAATGAAAACTTCATTATTTTATGCAACAGCCTTACATTTAAAAGAGAAACATAAGGGCGATCATACACAGAAGACCCCAGACTATAATTTGTTCCAGATGTTTTCTTTCCCTTATTTATTTATTTGTTTCTTTATGTGTTTGGCGCATGTACTCGTGTGCGATCAGAAAACTGCCCGCCTCTCCTTTCACTCCGCCCCGAAGCCCCAGTTGGCCCTCTTTGGCCCAAGGTATTCGGCGGGCCGAAAAAGGACAGCTGCTGGCTCCAAGAAAGCCCCGATTTGGCCCGATTAGGCCCTGGAAGTGACAGTGGAAACAAGACTGGCCTTGGCTCGCTCGTTTTAGGCACGATAGTGGAAGCGCGGCTAGTGTGTGTTCTCCTGTTCTGATGGCCATTACTGATTCATTGATATTCAGACACAGACAGGGCATGCCTCCTATTTATCAATGAAAATGAAAAGAGGCAGTTCAGTTATGCGCTGTGTTTTATGATAAATATTTTTGTTATTAAAAGCTCTGTTTCAGCGCTGGAAAACTCCAGGGTAGAGTTGACGAAAGGCGTAACCGTAGCAAAACCTATGCATTTAAAAATGAAAAGGTCTCAGTGTAGACTGGGCCATGGGACAACTTTGAAGAAGTTCTCTGATCCACTTCAACACACACACTGCAGCATATAAGCAGAGACACCTCTAATCAACACAATAACAGTGGAAACTGGAGGCGCTTTAAATCTATATTCCTGAACATAACTGTTTATTTAACTATCTTTACAATGCTCAACATCAGCAGTAAATCCTGTAGCGCTGCAGAGCACAATCACCCCTGCACTACAGGACAGAGTGACAGTAAAGATTAGTGGCATCCTAAACATCTGGAGCTGTCAGCGAGTTATAATCCTGCCGTGTGAAATGTGTTCTGACTGAAAATAACATCAGCGATCACCTACAGCCAATCAGAGAGCAGCATCCAAACAAAGGTACAGACCATAATATCCACAAGCATGGCTTCAGTTGAGAACAGGGCTGGACACAGTTGTTGCTCATTCCTCCTGTTGTAGAGTCATGCAGAGTGAAAACATCTGGCTGAACTCGCATTAGTGTGTGTAGAGGAGTGTGTGTGTGTGTGTGTGTGTGTGTGTGTGTGTGTGTGTGTGTGTGTGTGTGTGTGTGTATACCTGGTGCAGCAGCTCCTCTGTGCTGATGCTCTGCTCCCGCACACACATCGTCCTCCTCAGTGTGCGCTCGCTCTGCAGCAGCTCCAGCTGTCGTCTCTTCTCTCTGATTGGCTGATTGAGGCGCCGCGTCCGCCGGTACAGCAGCAGGTCTGACATCAGACGCACCGGATGAGCAGTGCACGACTTCACTGGCTTCACTTTCAGCTGACGCTGACACACACAAACACACACACATTCAGACGTCTCACGGTTTCTCCAGCTTTCATCAGAGTTTTGATCACTCTGGGCTGAGTTTGAGTCTTCATTTGGCCTCATCTCTCTCTGTGTTTCAGCAGATGTGATGATTTCTGCTGACTAATCTGATTTTGACTCATAATTATGGGAAAATGCTTTGCATGAAATAAAATAAGCTCATCAACACACTGTGTTCAGACAGAGTGACTCTCCTTTGGTGCTGCTGCTGCTGTTTCTGCTCCATTGACTTCCATTATAATCTGTAGAGCCCTGACAGCAGATACTCCTGCATTACTGACTGATGCTGGTTTGGGAAGAGGGATAATCTGTCATGTTTACACATCTCAAATAAATAAAGCTTTGGTTCTGTTGGTGATGTTATGTATGTTGGCCTGATTGGGCAGCTGTGCATGGACACTGGCAAATGAAGACCTGTTCAAAGTGATTTAAGACCTACAACACAATATTTCAGTGAATTTAAGACTATTTAAAGCCTATTTAAGTTTTTAAAATGCACTTTCCAGAACACAGATTATAAAAGAAGTCTTGAGACCAATCAAACATGCTAAAGTGATTTCTTAAAGGCACAGTCCCCTCAAAAATGAAAATGTCCTGATCTTTAACTCGCACTTCAGTGCTTCTACACTTGTGAGTTTCTGTCTTCTGTTTAACACAACACCAGGTATCCTGATGAACGCTGGACACTGATAAACACTACACAAGTCAGTCCGTGTCTTCAGAATACCTTTATGTGTTCATCAGATACTCACACAGGTCTGGACCAAGACCAGTAAATGGTGTATTTTTGGGTGGACCGTGCCTTTAAATGATTGGTCCATCACTGAACATGATATCTTCATTTGACTTCAACATGATCAATGATGCTGATGAAAGCAGTGGTGGAGACAGAGATGAGAGACTCACTGATCGAGGAGGAGGAGGAGGAACTCTGCTCTGTATTTTCCTGGAGGAAACAGAAGAAAGACAGACAGAAGCTGAATATCAAGAGCATTTATTATTAAAAACAAACAACACAATCAAACAGCCAGAAAAGCATGTAGAGAGAGAGATATCCTGAGAAAGATCTTCAGTGAGCTCACACACACACAAGATCCCAGAGGACAACAGACTGCAAACAACACTCTCTTACTCAGAGTTTACATCTCGTGTCCGTCCACATATCTAAACACTCTTAAATCAAGAAGCATTTTCTAGACAAGCAAAGCATACTGTGCTGTTTTCAGAAATAATATGTATAAAAAGTGAAACAAAACAAAATAATCTGCTAATGGTGAGCAAATTTCTCATGTGTGAAAGTGAACACTGCATTATTCAGCTTCTCACATTAGCAGATAACTACTGTATAAAGGAAAAACTCATTTAACTTTTACATTTTATTTCTAAAAAGGAGACGATGTGTTCTGCTCGTCTAGAAAGTAAGTGAAGTTTATTTATAAACTAAAGTCGAGAGGATCACGTGCTTATGATTGACCACAGCCGGTCCTGCATTATTCAATCTATGATTGACCAATCAGACGATTCCTAAACCTCTATAAATACTATAAGTCAGTGGTTCTCAAACTGTGGTAGGTGTAACACTAGTGGTACGCAGGCTTCCTTCTAGCGGTACGCGGAGGAATCACTGAATAAAGAAAGTTAAAAAATTAACACACATTAATCCCTTTGACGCGTACAATAACACAGATGTGATCAGTAAATTGATTGTAATAGGCTAAACCTTTAATTTTGTTTTACATTTTGTAATGTTGTTATGTTTTCTGTCATTTAAAGCTAATTTCCTCCCCATGTTTGTAACAGTTGTTGAGGGCGTATCACGTATTTTTCTATCCCAATGTTAGGTATAGTTTAATCACTCGCTTTTCTGATACAAATAGCCTACTCCAACCTGCAGTAAGCAGATCTAATTTCTAATTGAAATATGTAAATCCAATATATTTATGTCTAAAACACAAGTTAATGTTCAGATTTCAAAGATATACAAATAAGTCATATCTACATGCAACATATATCTCAAAAGTTATTAAAAAGAGTTTATTTATCAATATGACGACTTGTAGCTTACATTTATGAGGTCCAAGAAACTTTCTAGGTGTTGATGAATTAGCTACTACATGATAATACTTTACATTTAAGTACACAATTTCTTTTTACTTTTTAAGAACAATGAATTTATATATATATATATATATATATA